TCAAAAAATAAATAAATAATAACACAGGCAGGGTTCAGTGGTTCATTCCTATAATCCTAGCAGTTTGGGAGGCCAAGGTGAGAGGATTGCCTGAGCCCCCGGGTTCAAGACCAGCCTTGGCAACTTGGCAAGACTTCATCTCTATAATGAATTAAAAAAAAAAATTAGCCGGGCATAGTGGTACTTGCCTGTAGTTCCAGCTACTTGGAAGGTTGAGGTGGAAGGATTGCCTGAGCCCAGCAGGTGGAGGCTGTGGCAGCCGAAAGTGTGCCACTGCCCTCCAACCTGGGTGACAGAGTGAGACTCCAACTCAAAAGTAAATAAATAGTAACACAAAAAACATCAATTCAGTGTAATAACTATTTGCATAGCATTTACATTGTATTAGGTAATAAAAGTAATCTAGAAATTATTTATTTATTTATTTACTGAATTGGAGTCTCACTCTGTCATCCAGGCTGGAGTGCAGTGGCACACTCATGGCCACCTCAGCCTTGACCTGCTGGCCTCAGGCAACCTTCCGCCTCAGCCTTCCAAGTAGCTGGAACTACAGGCAAGAGATGAGGTCTCGCCAAGTTGCCTGGGCTGGTCTCAACCCTCTCGCCTCAGCCTCCCAAGGTGCTGGGATTACAGGTGTGAGACACCGGGCCCAGCAAAAGTAACCTAGAAACAATTTAAAGCATATGGGAGGATGTGCATATGTTATATGCAAATACTAAGTCACTTTATATAATGGACTTGAGCATTCATAGACTTTGGTATCCTTAGGGTCCTGGAACTAATCCTAATACTGAGGGGCAACTGTACTATTTTTTTTTTTTCAATTTTTTAATATCAATATTTTTTATTTTGATATTGGGGGGTACAGTTTAGGGTTAGGTATACAAATATGCTTTGTTGTTTTTTTTTAGTTTGAGTCTCACTCTGTCGCCCAGACTGGAGTGCAGTGGCACACTCTGGGCCACCACAGCTCGACCTGCTGAGCTCCGGCGATCCATCTGCCTCAGCCTTCTAAATAGTCGGAACTACAGGTATGCGCTACCACTCCCGGCTAATTTTTGACTTATTGTAGAGACGAGGTCTCACCAAGTTGCCCGGGCAAGTCTCGAACCCGCGGGCTCAGGCAATCCACTTGTCTTGGCCTCCCAAAATGCTGGGATCCAGGCTGTACCACTGAGCCCGACCTGCGACTGTACTATTACACTGGGGATGAAATTTCAACATACGAATTTGGGGGGGAACACAAACATTCAGACCAGCAGTGGTCAAAGGGCAGCTGTTTGTCAGAGAGTTGGGTGACAGAGCTTGGCTACGTAGGCTAGGGTGTTTACACATGTGCATGGGCCCTTTCCAGTGTGAGAAGAGGAAAGAGAAGTCAGCCAATAGGCTGAGGGCCAGGACTAGGGCACATGTTAACAGGGAACTTTAAGTAGAGTTCTCAATTCATACCTGATCTTGCAGGTCGTTATGAAGGTATGCTTACCAGTACAGGAGGCTACAATATTCACAGTTTGATTTGTACTTTAGGGAAATGTGGCTATATCATAAATAGATCTTTCAAAATTTTAGGCTGTGCCATGGTGACTCACGCCTGTAATCCTAGCACTTTGGGAGGATTCTAGCACTGAGGCAGGAGGACTGCCTCAGGAGAACCCAAGAGTTCCAGACCAGCCTGGGCAACATAGTGAGACCTTGTCGCTACAAGAAATCAAAAAATTAGCTAGAGCTGGGTTTGGTGGCTCAGCCTGTAATCCTGCACCTTTGGGAGGCTGAAGTGAGTGGATTCCCTGAGCCGCGGGTTCGAGACCCACCTGCGCAACTTGGTGAGACCTCATCTCTACAATCAAA